GCGTCTGGGGTCTTAAGAGCTTGAAGATAAAAAGGCGGCCATCTAGCTGAGAAACAACAAAGCCCACATGGAAGAAGCACAACAGCCTACCCCGACACAATAGCTGAAGACAAAGTGGGAGCATAAGCAAATGCAGTGAAGAAAGCTGATGGTGCCCAGCTATCAAAAGATATAGAATCTGGGGTCTTATAGGCTGGAAGATAAACATGTGGTCATCTAACTGAGAAACAACAAAGCCCACATGGAAGAAGCACAGCAGCCTGTGAGATCACAAGGCGTCAAAGGGATCACGTATCAGGCATCAAAGACAAAAAAATCATAGCATCGTGAAGTGGGACTGCGAAGTGGGGACTCAGGACCCATCTTTGGGAAATTGGACATCCCCTTACAGAAGGGCCGTGGGGAGGAGACAAGCCAGTCAGAATGCAGTGTAGCAAAGATGAAACATACAATTTTTCTCTAGTTTTTGAATGCTTCCTGCCCGGCCCCCACCCATTATCATGATCCCAATTCTACCTTACAAATCCGGCTAGACCAGAGGATGTACGCTGGTACAGATAGGAACTGGAAACACAGGGAATCCAGGACAGATGAACCCCTCAGGACCATTGGTGAGATTGGCGATACTGGGAGGGTGGAGGGAAAGTGAGGTAGAAAGGGGACACAGATTACAAGCATCTACATATAACCTCCTCCCTGGGTGATAGACAGCAGAGAAGTAGATGAAGGGAGACATCGGATGGTGTAAGATATGACAAAATAATAATAATTTATAAATTAGCAAGGGTTCATGGGGGGGCAGGCAGGGGGAATATGACACACAACTATACTTGATACAATTGATGGTATCAAGTATAGTTGTATATATATATATATCCATCATCATTTTTTAAGCATTTACTTTATATTTGAGCTCTTGGTATCAGCTCCTCTTTTTCCTTCCCCCTCTCCCACACTCATGACCCCTTGATAAATCATAAATTATTATTGTTTTCATATCTTGCACTGACCACTATCTCCCTTCACCCACGTTTCTGTTGTTCATCCCATGGGGGGATGGTGGTAATGCCTCTATCATTGCGACCGGTTCCCTTCCTACCCCCACATTCCCCATACACTCCTGGTATAACTAATTCCATTTCTCTCCTTTAGGGGTTTATCTGACCTGGATCCCATGGGTTGTGAGCTCTTATCTGTACCTGTGTACATGCTGTAGTCTAGCCAGAACCGAAAGGCAGGACTGTGGTCATGGTAGTGGGGGGTGAAGAAGCCTCAAAGAAACACTATTGTGTGTTTCATTGGTGCTATACTGTGACCTGGTTGATTCATCCCTTCCTTGTGATTCTTCTGTGAGGGGATGTCTCATTGTCTACTGATGGGTTTGGGTCTTTGCTCTGACCTACTTCGTTCTCAACAATATGTTTTTTTGTCTTTGTTTGCTTTTGCCTGTTACCTGATTCTGTCAACACCTCTTGATCACACAGGCTGGTGTGCTTCTTCCATGTGGGCTTGTTGCTTCTCTGCTAGATGGCCATTTGTTTAACTTCAAGCCTTCAAGACCGCAGACACTATATCTTTTGATAGCTGGGAACCATCAGCTTTCTTTACCATATTTGCTTATGAACCCATTTTGTCTTCAGTGATCCAGTTGGGAAGGTGGGCATCACAGAATGCCAGATTGTTAAAACAAAGTGTTCTTGTATTGAGGCAGGGCTTGAGCAGAGCAGTTCATTGCCATAAAAATATATGTACATAGGCTAATAGATGAGGTGCTTCCATTGGATGCCCTGATAGTGCTGTGGGTCAGTGGTTCAAACCACTGGCTTTTCTGAGGGAGAAAGATGAAGGTCACTGCTCCTACATAGACTTACAGTCTCAAACAACAACAAGAAGTTCAATGGCTGAATCATAAGGTGGATCTAATTTTAGCTTTTAGAAAAAGTGTCCTCTAATTTTCCATAGTAGTTGCAAATTTTTACAGTCTCAAAAGCAATGGCTAAAGGTTCCAGTCTCTTGCTAACATTTTTTTTTAATCATTGCCATTTTAGTTGGGGGTAAGGTGGTATCTCAGTTTAGTTTTGATTTTCATACTTCTAATGACTATGATTATGAACCTCTTTTCTTACTCATTTATTTCTCGGCTGCTTAGATGTCCTCTTTGGTTAAAATCCTATTATGTTCTTTGCTATTTTGTCATTTTGTTGTCTTTTGT